GTCCCGCCGTCGCCGTCGTGGCGGCGGCGGCGTGGCGACGGCGGCGGCAGCGCTGACGTCATGGCTTGGTACTCCATCGCCGACCGTCCCGAACCTGTGGCTTCAAAGGAGTACAAGTCATCGCCACCACCGCCAGCAGCGGCGGCGACGGCGGCGGTGCCGCCAGTAGCGGCGCCGCCGGCGGAGCTGTAGCTGACCTGTGCATTGCCGACGGAACCGGATCTTGGCGTGGACGAATCCGGTGTGTAACTGGGCTCCACGCCGCCGCCGCCGGCGCTTAGTGCCGCTGCCGCAGCGTGGTTGCGGATGCTGTTGTTGCTGTTATCGTTGTTGTTGTTGTTGTTGTTGTTGTTGTTGTTGTTTGCCGCAGGAGCCGCGCGCGGCAAGTCGGCGAGCAGGAACGCGCGCGGGGTGCGGGGTCGCAGGCGCCCCAACACCCCGGGAACTCCCCCGGTGGCAGATGGTACGGAGGCTGGTACGGCAGTGGCGGCGCCGGCGGTGGCGGCGAAGGGGCTGTCGGTGGCGCCAATACTGCTTGTGGCGACCGCGTCCTGCCAGGGGCAACGCGGCGGCGGCGGCAGCGGTGCCGTCGGCGGCAGGTCCCGCCGTACTTGCCTCTGCTCGACGGCTTCGCGTTGGAATGCTTGAACTGGGGCCTGTTCCTAATGACTAATAGCTCCTGCTGCTGCTGCTGCTGCTGCTGCTGCTGCGCTAAGGCCTGCCGTTGCAGCATTGCTTTGCTCCCCCGTCGCCCTCGCGATCCCCCTGGAAAGCCCACGGCCATGCTGACGGTCTCCGAGGTCGGGGGGACTCTGACGACGCCACCGTCGCCGCCGCCGCTGCCGACGGCGACGGGATCGGCGACGATGTCGTACTCACGGCGGCCATTGTGGCGCGAAATGGCGATTCCGGGTCCCCGGTTGAAGCGATGGAGATGTACGGCAGCGCCGCCGTACGAGTGATGTCAGCGGCGGATATGGGTGTTCACACGCCGGGGGAGTTATCGTACTGCAAATGTACGGCTGGTGGCGCCGTTGCTGTTGCGTTGCTGGTGTCTGACCCAGCCCCGGCAGCAACCTGCGGTGTGAATGTTAGGGTTTCAGGGTTTTAGGGACTTACGGCTTGAAGGTTTTAGGGTTAAGAGTGAGGAAAGAAACGTCCTGAAGGAGAATGAATTTCACTAAGGCTGTGCAAGATGAACTTCCACGTCGTAATCAACGATTCTAACTGCCATTACTATCACGTGGCCGTTACCCCTAACGGCTCTTACCACAACGGCCATGGACGAGCGCCTCCGGGAACACAAGGACCTAGGTTCGCCGAACGTGAACTCGGGTCTGGGTAACGCAGCCTCCGCGCCAGCAGCCGCCGCAGCAGCAGCTCGTCCCATGCGCCTACCTGCCGTACGGCCGACGGGAGCGCCGCTGTTTACTTCCAAGGTTTCGGCGCCCTCGATGCCGGTGCCGGCGGCGACCCTGCCGCCGCCGCCGCCACCGTGGCGGCGGCGGCGGCGGGTGCGGCCATCGGGAAACGACCCCGTACGGGAAAACCCGGAATCCCACCCCGCTGGCGCTGTGCGTAAGGCCCACGACAGCGTCCTATTACCCAGAGTGCCACTGCCAACGCCACCGCCGCCGTCGCTGTCGCCTGCACTGACACCGCTACTGCCGCCGACGACAATGGCGCTTCTTGCACCACCTCCCCTGAGCCCCATCTCTCGACCGTACGGCACATAAACAGGGGCGCAGACATCGTACCCGCTGCCTGTGCTGGGAATCTGCGGTACGGCATCAGCATCCAGGGCTGTGACACCGTCTGTCGTTCGTCGCGATGTGATACTGTCGCCGCCAAAGCCGCTTACGTTTGCTGGGTGCGCAAGGCCTCCGACAAGCCCCCGGGGTGGAGCTTCAACCTGCGTCGCGACCGGTGCGTACGGCAGCTGGTTCGTTGGTCTGGCTGCCGCCGCCATTACCGCCGCACCTACCGGCGCCAGGCCCGATGGCGGCGGCAGCGGCGGCGGCGGCGGCGGCGGCGGCGGCTCCGCGATGTCTGAGGGCCGCTGCGGCACCCGATTGACGCCGCATCCGTCCCGTACATCGCCGCTCGCTGTATGGCAGCTTGGAAGCGACCTCACGGTTTGTGAGGAGGCGGAGAGGGTGGAGACGGCCGCACCCGACCACGTGCTGAAAGGAGCTGCGGGGGAGGGAGACAGGGAGGGGGGGAAGACGAGCAAAGGATTGGAGTTATGGAGGGGCGGCGGCGGGTAAACAGGCATGCAGTTCAGTACGGAA